TGCGAATCTCTTTTTTCCCCGCATTCTCGACGAGAGTACTTTTATTTCCGTCTCTCGGTGAAACTCGGCAGTGTAACATTCGGACGTGTAGAAATACACTTCAGAAAGAGATTTGTAATCGAGGTTACAAAGTCGGCTTTGTTTAATGGTTCCGTCAAACTATGCAAACTTTTTATGCACTATATAAAGCAAAAAAATACATTGTTGTTTGCACACGTTTAATATATTTTTATTAATTGCAAAACTAAAATTGAAATTAAATTGGCATTATGATAAAATAAAAAAATATATCTTGCTCGTTGCAAAGAGAAAAACTCGTTATTTAACCTTTTCTAGTTAAAATACTTAAACAATTTATTATTCTCTTCATTCTTTCTCGTTTCATATCATGAATGCAGTAAATTAATCGAACTACGTGATCATGCGCTATCATAACTTTAATTAACTTAACTAAATGTGATTTTTACGCATTTCTATTCATTGCCGCAGCGGCGACAAGCGTTAAGGACATCGATATAAGGATTTTTCAAAACGTGTGACATGTGTGAGGTGTATCATGAAGAAAAAAAGATCCGATACGACGAGAAGAGGTAGTCAGATTTCGCGCGGAAATGTCACAAAGTGCATTAAAGTCTCGTTAGGATGTTTCGGGTGAAAAAAACTCACACGAGCAAGAACTAGGCTCGTGTCCGCGGAGGTGAATCCGACAGAAAACTCCTGCGCCGCAAAATCTGCCTTGGGGGCAAACTAAACTCGTGCCAAATGGAGTCAACATTTTCGCCAACAGTGCTTCGCTTTCTCGCGGCGAAGGTGGCACTGAGTGGAAGAGGATAATGGGGTCGGACGGAATGCGGGACGATAAACAGGTGATTGCGATGCCCCTCGACAAGAAACAGTGAAATCGACGTGAAGCGCCGGTAAACGGAGGTAATTCTCGATAAACCAGCAGTTAACGCGATGCTCGATACAACAACTCTTCGACCCCGTTCTTATCTCTCGTTGCTATGGAATTCGGTTTGTCGAAATCGATCGTCATAAAGAAACATCGATTTTTAAACAGATTACAATATCGATAGCATAAAACTGTACAAAAGAACATTTAGTACGAGTTTAGTAATTATTATGCCGTATATATTTAACGAATTTACTCTGCGTAATAACTTACTGTTATAAATAGACGCGTTTTATACATATAAAATTATTACCTGCTCATAATTAATTAAACAATATTCAAATTCAACAAATCTGGAAACTAGAGATAGTTATGGAAATATTATTTCACCATGTATTGTGTTACCTGTTTTAATTAATTGCAAGATATATTTAAGTGCAACGTTAAAATATGTGTTTTGAAAGAGAAATAATTTTGCTTTGCGATTTTCACGATTTTCGTATGAATAGAATTACATAATAATTAATTCAATATAATTTTAATATTTAGTACAAAACAAAAAGAAAGAATTAATAATTAATAAGAAAAAATATAGTTTTTTGCTTTACGCTTTATTTTTCTCTTTCATGCGTAGATGACAGGAAGCTTTCCAAGTATAAAGCGTGCGTTAACGGTATCTATAACGGACCAGGAAACAATTTAGGTGTTGCAAAAAGGTTAACCCGACTCATCCATTATCGTTCATCTGTCACAATAGAACACCGACCAATCTTTCGCTAAATTGACAATAGATACGCGAAAAGCTAATTCGCCGGAAAAATAAATTCCACTGTAGCGATATTTACGCGTTGTAAAGATATTGCAGCTCATTTACTGAGAAAAATATATGAATACTTAATCGGGAAGTTTTTCAATCTCGAAGTACGCGCGCTGTCGAATTGATTGAGTTGTGAATCCGATAGTTGCATCAATGAAAACTTCGCGTAAGATCGGTGATGAATCGTGTCAGCGCGTAGGTTGATGTTAAATTACGTTTATCGTTCGAAACAAAGCGATATTATGCTATATTAAACATTATACATTGGAATGTAATTATATAATATGTATATATACATCTCCCCATATTGTATTATCTTTCGGTGCAAAATGTCAAACTCACGTTAAAATATGGGAATGCAACACACGGCGAAATATTAATCATCCAAATATCTCAAAATATTTGACGAAGTATTGTGATATAATTATGGATATTCTGAAGCGAGAGGGAATGAGAAAGAGACAGCGTGTGTGTGTGTGAGAGCGAGAGAAAGAGAATGTATATACAATGCGTTGTAAACTATGTCCAACGAAGCATCAATTCTGGTACATTATTTATTGCGCTGCTCCGCATCGTTGTGCGTCGCTAATACCGTCTCAGACTATCGTAAAATATTAATGCGCATTATTAAATACAGAAGAAAAGAGAAGAAGAATAAGATTATTCGTGCATGAGCCCGGAAATCGGTCGATTAATACAGTAATTTCAGTCAATGAAGTAAAAAGTATCGATAGATTTAGACATGTTAAAAGTACAGTTAATTGACTCAATTGAGATTGCATTGTACATTCATGAATTTCTGTGAATTTCTGATAACTACAACGACCTTCCCGTCTTTAAATATCCTCCGGATAATTGGAAAGTGATTTGGAAAGTGAATTGGAAAGTGGAAACATATCCAAATCCAATAAACACCGCATTCTTTCTTATCCTAATAACTACAGAACCGTTAATTAATTTTCATTAATTAAATTATATTCCAGTTCAAATATGCCATATGTGGCCAAAAAATTAATTAAATTCGTAATTTTTATAATACTCCTATGATAGAATTAAACAATAATTAATAACCAATCTATAGTCCCAATAATGATAATAATTTTAATATTTATCTTCCTAAGTGTGTATTATATATTAAACAAAAAATGGAAATTAATAATTAAAAAAATTTAAGAGAAAAATGTAGTTTCTTGCTTTACGCTATTATTCTTTTCCGCAAGATTTATAAAAGCGGCAGTAAGTTTTCCAGATGATCTAATCTTTCATTATACTACAATTTTAAAATTTTAATATTATTTATTCGCAAATTAATCATTATTATTCGAGATTGTTCTATCTCAGTGTTGATGCAATAATATTATCAAAATAACCTGTGCTCTCTTAATGTTAAAAATAAGCTACGACGTTGCACAAATCTAATCAACCAATGAATATCTGTTTGCGAAGGTCAGAAAAGATTAAAATGCTTTATTATGTCAGTTTTTTAATAAACTGCGAGAAACGTTACAAATAAATTAATTACGTAAGAGAGATAACACAGATAAGATAAACTGTTTATAATGCGTACAACAGAAATAAATAATTTATTCGTTGTAATAATTCAGGACTAAGACTTAATATGATATATCTTGCATCTCAAATATTTCTCTTGAAAAATCACTATTTATGTAAAATTCACACATTTAAGAACATAAATTTAATAACATATAATATAAAAGAGTAACATTTTAATTGTCGCATATTTTTCAAATACTATATTTCTTATTTACTTACGCCAATGCTTCCGGAAGCAACAGCTATTTTTGTCGTACCTCGGCATCAAGAGCGATCTGATATTTCAGTCGATTGATATTTCAGAGTGAGTTGTCACTTCGAGACGTAAAAACAGTTAATCATGTAAAGGAGTTCGCGAGACGCATATCTCGCAAAATGTGAGCAGTGCCAAATCTGATTTGGAGCACAATCGACGGGTTCTAAAGAAAGTTCAAGAGGTGAGTTATCGGTGAGAGTTATCGCATCGGATATTGACGAATTACTTTTAAACTGTATTACGGTATCCTTACATACCCGTCCAATTTTCGGAAAAAAAAAGACAAGAGAAAGAGAGATTTTGTTTTGGAACAATGGACTTGCTTTCCAAAAATCGCGTAAATGAAATATGCTTCATGAAATTCTATTTTAATGAATCCATACGATAATTTTATATTTTGATCAGCGAATAAAGTGCGAATAATATTTTCAATTATCCACGTTTTAATCCACTTACATCGCCGCGTGAGCATTATTCCAGTGCAGTGATTCTGTTGACTATGCATTTCCACGTGAAAGTAAAGATTTCGAGTTGGTTGAGGGAGCAGCTTAGGCTCTTCCCATTATATGCTTACTTTCAGTGGGCAAGAATCCTTGAAACGGTATATACGTCATCGTCTTGTCTTCCAATAACGTACGTCCACGTTGGAATTTTAACCCAAAGATCGCACTATCTCTTTTTCTCCACACTCTTGACGTCATCAACGGATACGTGGCGCAGATGAAACTGTATCTCGCGTGTGGTTGAGAATACTTTCAGATTAACTTCGAACGCATTCGTGCTTCATTCAGTTTAAGCTTTATCGTGTTTATACGTTTTATATATTTTTAAACAGTTAAATGTACAAAAAATTGTTTGTTTCAATCTTGGACCGCACATGATTTTTTATTTTTTTATTCGTGCGAATGTACTATATATGAGAATTAATCATGATACTTTGTTATTTAATAACAAATTTCTATTATTGTTGTCGAAAAGTGTTTTGATATAACGTTTTTCTATATTTTTAACTGCAATTGTTTCTAAATTATAGTTACCATTATATTTCAGGAACATTCAATTAGAAGAACAAAAAATGAAAGAAACTTCCGCAGTTGCTGCGATAAACAGCTCAGAATCATAACTTAAAATTAATTATCAAGAGAAAAGTATGACAATATTTAGAGACATTACTCATAGAAGATTGTACCGACACTAAGAGAGCTTATCAGCGACGTAGTTGTCAACGACATTAACCCAGTTCTTTCCACGCATGACGTCATCATCATGATCGTGTTCTTCGGATAAACACCCACGATTCTCACACTCCTCTAATCCTGCTAGAATTCGCCTCCACTATTAACGCATTCTCGTTGCAGGCAAATCTCCTAATCGACAAAATCGCTTCACCTCGCATATCCCCTACACGTAATCACCAATCTACACGTATGCGACTCGCAATCCCCGCGCGTTCGCTCCATCTTTCGCATAATATCACTGACCTTGAGTCAAACTTGCTGCCGTCCTGCAGCGTGCCGGTGTAGTGCATGGTCAGCTGGTCGCCTTTCTTCGACTTCACGTCGCATACCTCGGGCATGTACAGCTTCTCCACCTTCAAGCCGCTTTCGGCGTTGTCAGCTCTGCTAAGAGCCACAACTGCCACCACGAGGAAAAGAGCATTACGACACATCGCAAGCACGGCACTCGCGTTCTTCGACGTGTAAGAAGCCATGTTCATCAGTCGGCGGACGCTCGTGAGCAACTGAGTCCTCGCAGCGTTCTACGCCGACGAGCCGCCTTCAGATCCCCCCTTGTCCCACCGTCCCAGAGCGCTGGCGCCGTGATCGGGACGAAGACCGGAGTAATGGCACGAGAGGAGGACAGAGAGTTCGCGCTGCCACATTGCGCCGTCTCATTGGCTCCACGGAATATGTAGGTTTCTACCACGGGAAAGTCTTTCTCTCTCTCTCTTTCTCCCCGCACCTGTCGGTACCGCACGCGATTTCTCGCTCGGCCCTGCTCGGTCGTCCCTCCTCGTCTTGCTTCGTCTCGTATCACGCTCTCCTGTCTCTCCTCAGCTGCCTGCTCCACATCTCCTTCATCGTTGTATCCCGGAGTCGGCGTGTCTTGCTCCGACCTGATTCTCTTCCTGCTTTCTCTTTCGCCGTCACGTTGCGCTGCTTTATCCTCTTCGCGCTTGCGTATCGCCGTCCACGTCCTTCTTCCTCCGTTGCCGTATCACGGTGTCTGCGGCTTGCTCCGTTCGTTGTACCGCGCTCTCGCTCGCCCACTAGCTCGGGTGTTCCCTTTCATCCCTTTAGTCCCGTCTTCCGCACCTCCGCGCGCCGTTGCATCTTTCGCGTCTTTCGTCCCTTTCTCTTCGCTCTCGTCCCTCTTTCTTTCGCGGTTACCGATACAAGGAATACGAGTCCGACCCGTGCTCCGATTTTGACGAGCTCCGTAGGTTTACCGCGCGAGCGAAAGTTCAACGAGAAGATGTTTCGTTCTTGTCTCGACCAAATCAAATTAAGAAATAAACTTTATCCGGGAGAAATGTTATCTTACCGACACAACGAAGCCTATTAGAAATACGATGAAAACTTTGCTGAGGTTTGCTGCTGGATAAACTATTCTTCCCGGAGCACACGACTAAGCTAGCCAAATAAAGAGAAATTTCTTTCATATCCGGACAGAAATATTTCTCAGATTTAAGCAGAAGAAATGAGATTAAAAGCCTGCTCTTTCATATTGTAATCGCGTGATGTTCAATTTGTGATTTCATCTAATAATTAAATTCGCCAAATCTTATTTAGCTAAACATGAGATAGAAATGCAAGAATAAAATTTCGAGATGTTGGAGAACAATGATAAAAGACACGTGTATAAGAGCGCGTTTGATTCGTATCCCTCGAGATTTTATTTGATTTTGTCCACTTTGTCAAGTGGAATCGTCGGCTCTTCCGCTTCTCCGTAGTTTGCTTCTCTACGAGCTCCTTTGACAATTCTTTTCTCACACGTATCGTCTCGTATCCATCTATCGCTCTTTAATTTTGTTCGTCGTGTCTCGGTCGCTGCACCTCGTGTTACATGTCACCCTGATCTCGTCGTTTATCACTGATGTCATCGCGTCGTCGTTGCGAGACGCATCCGAGCGTTGCAATGCGTTTCCTTCCTACGCGGAGGAGAATTTCGTGGTCGTTTCGCGACATGGATGTCGCGCTGGCCAAACTGAATGGCTGCTATATTTCCTTTTTTGCAACGAGCTCTGGCTTAGTGTCTAGCTCGAGGTTGGAATATTAAACTACGAGTTTTCAATCGGTTACGGTCACCGCGTCTAAAAACTCCCACGCCGTTTCTACACGCTGACAAAAGTCTCTCGATGAATTATTTATGGAAGATTTTACGTATCGGTATGCAAATGCAACTGGTCGAGATATGTACATGAATTCACTAACTGCTGCAATAGAATTTCCGAAAAGCATGCATTTGAATGGCGATATTCAATCGATTAAAAATGGTGATTCAATTGGAATAGAATTTTGTAAAATAAAATTTATCGTGTTGTAGAGACATAGAGATGTGATCATAAAGACGATACGTTGAAATAATTGCCGTTTAATTAGAAATGGGATTTACAAATGGGATTATTATATTAACTAATGACATATTCGATTCAATTATACCATAAATCTCTCTTAAATCAATTAGCTTACTATAGTTTCTAATGATACTAAAATTATAGTTAATTATGGCTAACTACTGTATAATTATGATTACCTGTCGTTAATCTGCATCATTGTTTGCATTAAAAATATTTATATTACATAATCGCAAAAGAAATATACTTTCCAGATGTTGTGTGCAGATATGTTTAAAAATAAAACAAATATTATATTAAAGAAAATTATCTTGCATAAATGCACAAGTATTTAATACTTTTATACTATCATCATAAAAATTGGAAATTTTTACTTTATCCTAATTACATATAATAATAATTTAATCACTGTCATAATATTCTCAATTCTCTTATTATTAATACATATTTTGTTTTCGTAGATAAATAAAAAGGATATTAAAAAAGCTTTGCTCTATTTTCTTGTTTTGTTTCTCTTTCAAACTATTCGTTTTCCTCGAAACAGACTAGCTTCATAAATCAGAATTACGCGAACAAGTATATTGTTACAGAAGAACAAACAGCGACAGTTCGCAATGTTTGAGATTTAACCCGTTCTGCTTAATATTCTGTTAGCACGTATATATTCTGAATAAAGTTATCTAAAAAATTTTTTTAAGTGTTTTTTTTTTTTATTATAACATTCATTCATTTGCAGATAAAAAAAACGCCATATCGATGAATTCAATTTATCACGCATGCACGAATTTACAGTTTACTCTTTAGTCAACAATAATGATATTATAAACGCATGACATTAAAAGCAGTCTCCTAATTAGCATTTTAAATAACGTTTTAAAGCTCCACTTGTCGAGCAGCAGCAAATTGTTTTGGACATGATATTAAAGTGCTTCTCCTAGCTTCTAGAGTACTCATGTTGATCGACAAGCAGAAGTTTCTAACAATGCAGAACTTTGTTTCGCAAAGTCTCATTTATCAGAACGATCTCAAAACAATTTCTTAGAATACTAGCATGCACTGCAGTTATCATATTTCTCTCTTTAAAACAAAGGAAATATGTCAATATTCCAAATCATAACTATCTGTCTTGTTTAATTATTGTAATACATATGTTGATATCAATAATTCCTTGATCCTGACAAAATTTGAGACAATTTTAAATTTATAAATGTTTTATTTAACGCTATTTTAATTATTCCTGAGATCATTGAGCTTATATGCAAATTGTAATATAATTATATATTTATATAATATAATTATATATTTATATAATATAATTATATAAATATTATAATATATATTACATATAATACATTATTAATTATATTACATTATAATATATATTTTCTCGCATACACAAATTCTTTGCGTCCATAAATAAATATATGATTTCCATTAATAATTTAATATATAAAGTTCTAATCAAGATTCTTCTATAATCATGTATGTCATTATTAAATGGATCGTATGATTTACAACCTGCGTGTCAGTAATTGTGCCAGTATAAAATTTTGACGTCTTCTCTTCGCATTTTAGCAACTTTCACCGTATTCTTATTATCTCTGTGGCATATTTTATGTACACGTACGTAAAATACATCGAACGTTTTTATGCAAACTTTCATAAGCTTGAAAAAAATGTGAACCTTTCACCTAGCTTTATGACCTTATTTTTACACTCAAAATAAAAAATCCATTACATACTATAATATTAATACCGATTATATCGTTGAATTGTAGAAATTTCTTTCGAAATTTGTAAAAATATTTTAGATTCTTAACATATATTTTGAAGGTGAAACAACGCTAGCTGTGAAAACATATTTTTGCATATATGTGTTTCTTTTTCATGCTCTGAGAGAAAGAGAGAAGAGAGACAATCCCGTGCACTCGATTCCCGACGATGACGATGTCGGTGGTGTGCAGCGAAAAGCGCAAAAGTTGAGCGCCCTGCGTACATATTCGTTACATCGAGCGCGACAAACCACTCAAACCAAGTTTGCATCTTGAGGAATACTCATAGAAATCGCAGAGAACTCTTTGACCCCGACATGACGCAACGGTTTGAATTATGCTTCTTCATGCATACAAATTATAAGATTTGCACTAGCTTCGTCAATTTACAAATTGCTCCATATAAATAAAAAGATAAAATATGACATTATTTGCGCTGATATCATTTACATCGAATCTTATTACAGAATAAACATGTTTAATCATAATTGGAGCGTTCAGAGAGATAAAATCTCGAAAGACTGACTGTGCAATTATTATTACAGCACGTCAACGATAAAATATTTGAAAAATCTGACTTTTCATATAAGATTTCTCATTAGTTATTTTAAGTGTTTATAAATAAGTGTTTTGATTTAAAGAAATTTATATTACACATTTATCTCATTTTAATTATGAACTGTTCGCATTTCGAAACTTGGAAGAGATTTCATTAAAACTTTATCAAGTCAGAATTTTGATTCAACACGTGCTATATATGTATCCTCGACAAAGAACAATTATTTCCCGAAATCAATAGACCCGGGTGCAAATGCGGTAGGAAGTTCCAACAGCTCGTATAACGACGCTTCCAACTAATCCTCGCTCCGGCTGCTTAACGCATGGAAATTAATAATGAGACAGAATGGAAATCCTGGAGCGATAAGCCCCGGATCTACGTAACTCCGTGTGGATTATGCAGCGACGTGCGGCCACCAACCCGAATTGAACGAACGATCGAGGAACAAACACGGAATCGGTTCATTTAATCCGTGATTGTAAGCTGTCTAGTATCGAAATAATAAAAGATATCTTTTAAAATGTAGCTCGAAGATTTTTGTAATTTTTTAACGCGTGAAAACAATCTAATTTGAATTTTTGTGATAAATAATTGTTAATTACTAATAAAGTATAGCTTTAAAATTTTTATAATTTTTACGCTAAATTTTTTTGTTTTTGCAAAAATCGCAAATATTTCATATGATGTATGCGTATTAATTGCGACTATAATACACATTATAATTCGAAATTGCACATTTTTGTGCATCTATTAGCGACGTGTAAACTACGTCTTTGATTGCACGTAATTCGAAGGTTTTCGTTTCATTTGCATAATCCGTTAACTAATACAGCAACCCAGGATTTA